TAAATTAATAGATTAATAAAATTTATATTGAATAATAGAACTAATCATTTAAAAAAAGAGAGAATAAAACCTCTCTTTCATTCAGAAAATGGGGAATAATCTATTAAAAATTGTTCAATCTTCCACAAAACAAAATATAAACAAATTAATGAATATAAATTTAGAACACAATCTCCCAAATAACGAGGAAGGAACCATTAGTTTTTAAATAAAAAGCAATCCCATAATTTTACCAAAAAAAGAGGAAAAATATTGTTGAAGCATTTTTTTTAATTAATTGAATCTAAAATTCAAGATTCTTGCATTAAAGTACCTTTTTACCCTTCCCCTTTTTGTTTTGGAACATGTAGGAGTTTGAGAATGAGAAATTTTTCTACAAAACGTAAAGGTTATAGTAGCTTTTAGAATGCAAAATGTCATAGGAAGTTATTGAAATTCTACCCTTATTTAGTTTGTGATAAATGGAGGGGGAGAGAGGCAATATTTTTCTATTTTCCTCTTCTTCTTTTATTTGGTTATCTTAAAATTATAAAGGAAATTTAAGGGAAGCTCCTTTATTTCTCACAAACGGACGGAGGTTCTCAAGGGCTAGAGGGTTATGGTCTACTAGCCTTTCGAAAAAAAAAATTAATATAGGCATTTTTATGAAAACTTTGGCAAATTTATTAATTTATATATATGCATTTTTTTGATGAGAATATATATAAGCATTTAAATGTAGGAAATAAGCAAATATTGGGTCTAAAATTTTAGTTAAGAGAACTTGAATCTAATCTTAAAGAACTTATTTGAAATAAAAGAAAATAATTTTTTTAAATAATGGTATAAAGTAATCATTATAATTTTTTGATATTTTATATTAATTTTTTCATATAACTCTAAACTTTATAGTATGTTTGGATTAAAAGGAATGGAGAAAAAAAGAGGGGTAGAGAAAATTTTTCTTTATTTAGTTATCAAAATAATTTGGGGGAAAGAGAGGAGAAATTTTTTATTTATTTTTTAAATTTTATTTATTTATTCAAATAAGGGGAACAAAAGAAAGGCGAGTGGAGAATGGAGGGAAATGAAAAGATATAATTCCACTCCTTTCATTCCTTTTCCTTTTTCTCAACCCAAACATACAATTAGTGAGAATGATAATTTTATAGAATGTAAAATAAACATTTGTGAAAAGTGATTTTATGATAGAATCTTCTATAACGTGACCAGATAAAACAATGCGATTTTCAAGGCTGAAACTATTTAGGGTATTGGTTGGATTGCAAGCCCTAGCATTTCCTAAAAAAAGTAAAAACAAAAAAAAGGAAATACAAAGATTTATACATAATGGGGTTTAATTATTGGAGAAAATTAATAATTAATAATTAAGTTTATATATAATAAAATGCAATGATTAAATTTAATAAAACCTAAAATCATAATTCAAAAAGAGATTAAAACTATATGAAATGTATAAGCAATGTATATATATAATGTACGAATAATACATGGATAATGCATAAATAACCACGTTTGACGACGCACGGGCTTAAATAATTAATTTTCACTGTTGTTTTAGGCTTTCTTTCCTTTAAATTTATTTTGAAGAAGAAGTATGCCACATTTGGGAAAAGTATGCAGGACAACGAAAACCAAACTAAGGAAGGGAAGCCTTTCTATAACTAACAGGAATGGTGGGACTGCTTATGAAATGCAAAGCTACTATAGTGGTGATGGTAGTGGTCGACGTGTTTTTTATGGTGGAAATACCATGATCGCAATGGAAGTCCTTGGACAGGTGGCTAATAATTTTGATGAAGAGAATGTTTTAGGAAGAGGAGGAATTGGCGTTGTATATAAAGGAGAATTGCATGACACAAAGATTGCTGGGAAGATGATGGAATCGTCAAACATGGGTAACAAAGTGATGAATGAGTTTAAGGCTGAAATTGCAGTTCTAAGTAAGGTCAAGCAGATGCATTTGGTTGCACTTTTAGCCTATTGCGTAAATGCCAATGAGTGGCGGCAATGAGAGGCTCCTGGTGTATGTGTACATGCCACAAGAAACTCTTGGACAACACTTTTAGTCCAAATTTGAGCCCTAGGCCCCCAGGCCTTGTTTCTGGAAAGAACGCCGACCAATTCAACCTCCCCCGTTTCCCCGTCCGTTCCGATATCAACTAGATAACATGAAGATCTATTCTTCCAACCAAGCATCATATGAAGATTTAGTCCAGAGTTCTGTCTAGGTTTCTGTGAGGGATCAATCCAAACACTATCGTCGGGTAAACGATTGAACATCCAACCTTAGGATGAACGGTCGATTGCAATAACACCACCCCTTATTGTTACCTTCGTTTCTAACATATGACATCATGATTTTTATTGGGACATTGATACATACACCCTTCTCTGTTACACACTCCGTTACACATTAATAAAAAATCGTTAATTTTAATTGTAAGATAACAAAAACCGTTAGTTATAATGGCATAAATAACGAAAACTGTCAATTTTAACGGCATAAGTAACGAAAACTATTAGTTTTAACAGTATATAAACGAAAATCGTTAGTGTGTAACAGATAGTATAACTTTTGAAGGGTGCATATAACATTCTCCGTGTCATTGTCTTACATGTTCTAGCACAGGAATTAATGCACTGCCATGAATCTCCATAGAGCTACCGTACATTGTAGTGATTTAAGATTGATAAAAGAGAATTTGTCATGTCAAAAGTAATTTTTGAGGTCTATAAATACACCTCTAATCACCACATCTTAAGTAGTTTCATTACATGTAGTAAAATAGTCTATCCCCACTAAAATCCCATATTTATTGACTTTTGTTATCCTAAAATCCAACCTCGGCTCTTACAGGTATTTTGGTCAGGCTTGTCATTGAAGTAGTTGGGTTATGCTATTCTTCACTTGAGCTATTATGTGTAATCACAGTTTCAGGAGGATTAAAAGGGAATTCCCAAAAAGCTCAAAAATATTTAAAAATATTATAATTATAATGTCACACTATATTTTAATTTTATAATATGATGATATGTCTTTATATAATTAATTATTTTTATTTAATAACTCATCCATAATATTATGCATTTAATATCATGTTATAATTATAAGTTTACAATTCTATAAGCATTATATCCACAGCATTACAAAATTAAAAAAAATTTAAAAAAATTAAGTTTTATGAGTTAGTTGTTTTACTATCAAATTGTAAAATAATTTTTTATATTTAAAATTGTAAAAAATTAAAACATCTTAATAATTAAAATATTAAAAATATTTATAAAATTATTTAAATACTCTTCATTTTCTTCTATATTTCCCAATTAATGATTGCTTATTAAATATATTTAAA